ATAGTTGCCATTTATGTGTGTGTGTGTGTGTGTGTGTGTGTGTGTGTGTGCACAGTTAGAAGATTTAAGATCTATCCTGTTAGCAAATTTCAAGTATACAATACAGTATTGTTAATTATTGTCGCCATGTTGTATATTAGATCTGTAAAACTTATTCATCTTGAACAACTGAAACTTACAAATTATCTTAATAATTCTTTGTGACCTAAGGAAACTTGAAAGTACCATGCCTCAGTTCTCTGAGTCTGGCTTTGTCCATTTTAACATTTTTTTTATTGATGGTTTCAATAAGAGCACTGATAACCAACTATACAAAACTGACCAAACTAGAGATACAAAGCTGAGAAGGATAATTAATACATTAGATGTCAAATTAAAATTTAAAACTATCTTAATTCAGAATGACTCAGAACTGACAATTGAGAAAAATAAATAAATAAATAATAAACATAATATCTAAACCTTGGGTTACAAAAAACAACTGCACAGGAATAAATGAGGAAAGATGTGGCTTAAAGGTAACAAACTAACAATAACAAAGAACTTAGAAGTTTTAGTTAACCATAAGCTCAACATTAGCAATGTTACAAAATGTAATCATTAGCCTTTATCATTAAAATGTCTAGAATTTCTAGTTCAAGATGACAGACAGAGTACCTTCTTCTAGTTCAGGAAGGTATTTCTGCTTCTTCCCAAAGGCCCATTGAAAAAGACAGAAAAAAAAATTTTTAATGGAGAAAAGTAGAGCATTACTGGAAAACATGAAAAGGGTATCAGTGGACTTGAAATTTTAAAGAATACCTTGAAATTGGCAAATATAGGATCAAGTAGGTAGAATAAGAACAAAAAAAACCACATAGCCTAAGATTCTAGAGATAAAATGATGGTCCTTCCTGAGAATATACCATAGAAATTGCAAATTCCAAGCAATAAACATTGTTATTCTGTTTGTAGAACTTTATATGTATTATTTCAATTAATCCTCACAATCAGTTTATAAAATAGGTACACTGTATGTCCATTTTGCAGATGAGGAAGCTGATGCTTAGACACGTTATATAATCACAGATAATAAATGATAATGCCAGGAGTGGAACCCAGTTAGTCTGAATCTGGAGTCTGAATCTGGAGTTGTTTTTGAGACGGAGTCTCACTCTGTTGCCCTGGGTAGAGTACAGTGGAGTCAGCCTAGCTCACTGCAACCTCAAACTCCTGGGCTCAAGCAATCCTCCTGCCTCAGTCTCCCGAGTAGCTGGGAATACAGATACATGCCACTATACCCAGCTAATTTTTAAATTTTTTGTAAAGATGGGGTGTCATTCTTGCTCAGCCTGGTCTCAAACTCCTGGACTCAAGCGATCCTCCCTCCTCAGCCTCCTGAAGTGCTGGGATTACATACATGCGCCAACATGCTCAGGCTACTGGTTTATTATAAAGGATATTATAAAGCATACACATGAATAAATGAGTGGGGCAAGGTATGGGGGAAGAGGCACAGATATTTTATGCCCTCTCTGGTTGTGCCAGGAACCTCCATGTGTTCAGCTATCTGTTCAGGTTCTTTGAACCTAGTCTTTTTGGGTTTTTATGGGCAACCTAGTCAAAATGTGATTAGCCTTAAGGGTGTGGGGCAGGACTCTCTCTGGAAGGAGGGTTTTAGGACCCACAATCAAAAAGGTGAGGGAAGATTAGAGTTCTGCCTTGGCGCAGGTGAAGGTTACAGAGATTTTGTTTCTTGAGGCCTGTTCTTGAGGCTTAATATATTTAACATTATAACAAAAGACTATAATGAGGGCTATGGGAATTATAAGCCAGGAATTGTGCACAAAATCCTATATATATATTCATATGTTACCACAATTTCCTACAGGGAATTTTGTGTATAGACATACTCTGCCCACAAAGAATTCACAGTTAACCCTCCCATTCAAAGAAGATGCCTATCTTATAAGTGGTAAGGCAATACAGCATGGTAGTTAAGAGAATGGACTACAGCTGGGCACAGTGGCTCACGCTGTAATCCCAGGCACTCGAGAGGCTGAGGTGGGAGGGAGGATCGCTTGAGGTCAAGAGTTCAAGACCAGCCTGGCAACACAGTGAGATCTTGTCTCTAAAATAATTTTTTTAGATTAGCTGGCAAGGTGGCACATACCTATGGTCAGGAGGAAGAGCCAAGAGACTGCAATGAGCTATGAGTGCACCACTGTAGGTGACAGAGCAAGACTCTGTCTCTTAAAAAAAAAAAAGGGAGAACAGACTCTGAAGCTAGCTTGCAAGGGTCTTAATCTGGGTTCTTCCACTTAACAGCTGTGTCTGGAGAAGCTACTTAATGTCTCTGTACCTTACTTTCCCCATGTGAAAAGTGGGGAAGATAACTGTATTAATATCATAAAAGCTGTTGTGAGGACTAAGTGAGATAATTTTCTAAGATGGAGCCACTGCACTCGAGCCTCGGTGATAGAGTGAGACCTTGTCTTTAAAAAAAAAAAAAAATGCTATTAAGCATAGAAGGAGATAAATTAGACGATGGCTTAGACATCTTTTAGCCTTGAAAGCCTACAAAATCCTTAAGAGGAAAAAAATTAATTTAATCAAATAAGATAAAGCAGATTCTAAAACAATGAAGTATTAACCAAAGTCAGATCAATACTTGGTTTAAATTCACCCGAGCCTCTGAAGGCTTTTGTTAGACCCTCTTGATTTATGACACTAACTATAAGTTGCCTCTCAATAAACTAAAGATATAAAATGAATGTAGATGTAGAGAATGAGGCGAGTTAACTGATTCCTAAGCAATTTTGATTAATATCAAGTAACAGTTATAACAGAGCTACTGAGTCTCAGCCATAGATTCAGCTCTTTCGATCCAGAATTACAAAAACGAAAACGTGCAATATCCAAACAATTCCCAAAAAGGACCAAAATATAACAGCTTCATGTCAACGGGAAATTCGAGGGCAATAGTGGGGGCTAAGGCACTGTTAGGCTACGGGGAAAAGCACATCAGGCTAATAGCAAGTGACAGCCCAGATTAAAACACAAATGTGGTCAAGAACTTATTCCAAACCTAAGCTAACTAAATGTATAGATTGATTAGGGGTCCTGTCCTAAAAATCCTATCCATTTAGGGTTCTAAATTAACAATAATGTCCTCTGAAACAACCTGAAAACCCCAGAAATTAAGCCACTGCCCAGGGGTCTTCTGGTCTACAAGTAACATGGACCTAAAGCAGATCTCTGTAGTAATACCCAAGTAATCTTTACAACCTGAAGAAATCAAAGATGAACCCCACCAACTTCTATGGTAGGTGACAGAAAAAAAGAAACTTTGGGCATTTTAAACAGAACCAAAGCTGAGATGCATATTACAAGCCAAAAAGAACAAGAACTACATATCTACACAATCCTTATCATGAGACTGGAAGAAACTGCAAGTAGAAGATTAGAACAGTATAGGCAAAGCCTCTATTCCTAGAGTAAGATATTAAAAGTCTCGGGGTCCTCTTTCTCTTTCCTCCTTATACTGGTAATTTTTTTCTACTTGTTCTCTGTGGCTTTCCTTGCCACTGAACCACTTTCCTATCTTTTCTACTTGTTCTACTCCCATTCTACATTTGAGATTTTTAAAAATTTCTTCTCTCCCTTCTGTGTCCTACTAACTATCATAAATGACATTCTAATAAAGTTACAAAAGAAATTGTAGAAAGAAACAAATATAAAATAAGGCTTTGACAAATTATATTTATGAATGTTGCCTATTTTTCTGGCCTATATGTAATCTCCTATATGTGTCAAAACATTATGCCTATGCTAATAACAGAGAAACTATTAAAAAATACTCAAATCTAATAAATAATGGTTGGTGACAATAGTAGGAAAAAGCAAAAACCAAAGTTAATAGAAAGAGATTTAATATAACCCTGACTATGACATATAGACAGTAATTCATAATTCTAATACAAAATCTTTTACCTAAATTCAACATATGTAGGGATGTAAATATCTAAAAATGCAGCCACTTTCAGTATTTTATGTTCAGAAACAAATGTGGAAAAACTTAAAACTCCTTAATTTTTTTTTAAAATTGAAAACAACAATCCTCCTCACACTAAAAAATACTTAAATTATTTTTAGCAAAAAAAGATAGAATATAATTTGGTCTTATTTCATTCTTTGGGGGCATTTACAGAAGTTGAGAAAGCAATTTAGTCATTCCTTCCTTCCAAGACTTTATTCATGAACTCTCTTCCAAGCACTTTTCTGGGGCTGGATGTGGTGGCTCACACCTGTAATCCTAGGACTTTGGGAAGCTACCATCCTGGGCAACAGTGAGACCTCGTCTCTACAAAAAATACAAAATTAGCTGGGTGTGGTGGCATGTGCCTATAGTCCCAGCTTCTCAGGAGGCTAAGCCCAGGAGTTTGAGGTTGCAGTGAGCTACTATGATGCCACTACACTCTAGCCCGGGCAACAAAGCAAGAATCTGTCTCAATGCCGGGGGAGGGAGGGGAGAGTTCTTTTCTCTTTAAAATAGGAAATAAAGGTAATGGTATATAATAATGTATGTATTGACTACTTACATCAAAAGCAATGAAAATGGGGTCCAAGAACTATAATTACTTAAAATATTTTAAATGTGTGCCATTAGCTACCTGCACATTTCTCAGGTGGTAGGCATTTATCCCATTTTTATATTATTGTTTATTTTTTCCCTCCCTCCAACACTTTAACTTGGATTTTTTCACCTACAATATATTTTTAAAATGATGTCACAGTCCTACCCATGGTAAATACTTGAATTTACATCTTAAGGGCATTAAGTTCACTTGAAAAATAAAACTGAAAGAAAAAAAGAAATATGATAGAACTTTTTTTTTCTTGGCTATTTTTTTTAAAAATATGTAACCTACAAATACATGAGACACTTAAGCAAATGATTCTAAGAATATAAAAGAAAAAATCATACATTTCATAAAAACCGTATAAAATAACCATCTTACCAATATTATTTGCAAGGGAATTAGGATCAGGTGCCCCAAGGGTAGCTTCAAACTCCTCTTGGAGACGATACGCTCTTTGCAGCAGAGCTTCAAGTTTATGAATAAATTCAGAACTAATAATATCCTACAAGGTGAGAAAAAGTACACACAGCAAATATTAGACTCTAATGTTAAAAATCTAAACATTTCCCACTTTCAAATAAAAGGCGGGGAAAGTGAGAGATATAAAAAACTACTGTTAGGCGGTGGAAAGAGCATTGCAGTAGAAGTCAGGAGGCCTGGGTTCTAGCTGGGCCTTTGGCAAAATCATCCCAGTTCTCAGGGATTCAGTTTCTTTATCTGTAAAATTAAGCGCTTAGACTAGATTAGGGGTTCTTTAAGGTCCCTGAACCAGAAGCATCATCATCCCCTGGGAACTTGTTAGAAATGCAAATTATCAGGATCCACTCCAGTCCTATTGAATTAGGAACCCTATGGGTGGGGCCCCCAAATCTGTGCTTTAACAAGCCCTCCAGGTGATTCTAATGCATATTCAAGTTTGAGAACCACCAGCCTACCGACATAATCAGTAAGGACCAGTTCAGGGGCTACAATACTATTTGACTTTTATGAATATAATGGCACTTAATCCCAAAGCACAAAACAGACTTTTAAAAATTCCAAGCTGGGTGCAGTGGCAGCAGCCTGTAGTCCCAGCTACTGAAGAGGCTGAGGCAGAAGGACTGCTTGAGCCCAGGATTTCAGGTCTGTAGTGCGCTATGATCACTCCTGTGAATAGCTACTGCACTCCAGCTGGGCAACATAGTGAGCCCCATCTCTAAAAAAGAAAAGAAAATTCCTTTAGAATATCTGCTTATTCTATATATCCTAGGGAATTCAGAAAAGTTGATGAATGGTAAATCTGGCATTTAACAACTAAATGAATAAAAAAAGCCCAATAAGAAATACCCTACATGGTCCCTTGGTAGAAAAAAATCCAGTTCTATTAAATGCCACAGAAAGCAAGTACACTGAATCAACACTAAAAATAGACTGAGGGGCTGGGCGCAGTGGCTCACGCCTGTAATCCTAGCACTCTGGGAGGCCGAGGCGGGCGGATTGTTTGAACTCAGGAGTTCGAGACCAGCCTGAGCAAGAGCGAGACCCTGTCTCTACTAAAAAAATAGAAAGAAATTATCTGGACAACTAAAAATATATAGAAAAAATTAGCCGGGCATGGTGGCGCATGCCTGTAGTCCCAGCTACTCGGGAGGCTGAGGCAGGAGGATCACTTGAGCCCAGAGGTGTGAGGTTGCTGTGAGCTAGGATGACGCCACGGCACTCACTCTAGCCAGGGCAACAGAGTGAGACTCTGTCTCAAAAAAAAAAAAAATAGACTGAGTCTTCTAATATTATGAAAACCACTCTCGAACGGATCATCCTTACATCCACACTTTCTTCAGCAATGGCATCTCCTGCACCCAGTTTAATGGAACTGCAGGCTTCATCTTCAGCCTGTCTATTGCGAAAGGTTAGAGCTTGTTCCCATCGACGCAATGCCTCTTCAAACAATTCCATACCTAAAAATTAAGAACAGAACAATTGTAAATAAGCAAAACCAATACCCAAATAAAATTATTTGGGGTCTGAAATGTTTTCATACAGTCATCACCAATGGCCAGCCTGACTGTAATTTTGATACCAAAGAATCATTTTATACCCACATCATTTCATAGTTGAATCTTAATTTCCCATATATTCTGGGCCTACAGTTCCAGGTAAACAAAAACTAGAGACAAAATGGCCAATATGTTTTCATTTTTTAAAAAATGTAACTCTAATGTATATGGTGATTAGAATTTTCCTAAAACAGTATCATGAATTCACCACCAAAAGTTCAACAGTAATAGCTAATTTTTATAGTCACGCGACTACGTTTCAAAGTACCCTCCAAAATTAAAAAGAAAACTGACAGGAAAATACAAGAAACTAGTTTACAAGAAGCTATCAAGATTATAAGTTGTCAGAAGGAGGCAGTAAAGCCAAGAGGAAAGATAATAGCATAGAAGTCGAAAATAAAGTCTTTTCCATATTTTTTCCTCCATAGGGTATCCTAAACCACTATGATGCCAAATTGCTGATTTGGATGGAAAAACTGGTGAGCCACAGTTAAAAATCAGCAAGATGCTACATGTGTTGGACTGAAAGGAAAAAGAAAAATCAGCAAGATATTGAATGTACCCCATAAAGCTGCGGTTCCCAACCCCTGGGCTGTGGACCAGTACCGGTCTGTGGCTTGTTAGGAACCAGGCTGTACAGCAGGAGGTGGGGGAGAGGGGAGTGAGCAAAGCTTCATCTGTATTTACAGCTGCTTCCCATCACTCACATCACCACCTAAGCTCCACACCCACCACCCACCCTCACCCGTGGAAAAACTGTCTTACATGAAACCAGTCCCTGGTGCCAAGAAACGATGGGGACCGCTGCCATAAAGGCTTAGTTATAGTTCAAGTAGGAATTTCACATTCCTGCTGAGAGAAAGCTTTTGTGGGAAAAAAGGTGAATATGTGCCTCTCTTTCCCTAAATATAAAAAAAGGCTTACCAAAATAATTATGTACTTTAAACAAAACCAAAATATTCTAAATCTTCAACTTTTTCTACACATATAAAAGAAAAAAATCTTTGAAAGCTGCTTACGAACCCGGGCAAGTCATTCTTAAGATAGTTTTCAGATATAGTAGATAAAGAATACCTCTCCTTGAAAGTCATTTCTTCAATTATCTGTAGAGCCTACAACCCTGAACAAACAAAATTTCTTTAAATACAATGTAGGCCTTTCCTTCTTGTTTAATTTTCTATAGCAAAGAATGGCTTTTTGTTCTTCCTCCTAAAAATACTTACATGCACTTAAAAGACAACTACATCACTACCCTCCTTTCTCCAAGCAATATAACTCTAATTCCTTTATCCTTTTCTCACACTATCCCCTCTCTATACAGATTATTTTGGCAGAACTCTGGAAGAATTATTTGACAGCAGAGTTGTCCAAAGATAAAAATTGCCTCATTAGGAAGTACTGTGCCCCATCTCATTATAGAATACCTAGACTACTAGACATCATCAGTTTCGTAACCAGAAGTCAAATGTATGTCACCAATCTTTTTTTAATGTCATCAATTTTATAAAGGGAATTGAAACCACAGATGGGTGATTGGTCTAGGTGTTCCACAGGGCTCCTACCAATCTTTCCTTGTTTTGTTTTCTT